GGACTCACCCTTCAGCGTCCAGTCACAACCAGACCAGCGTCCGGTCAGTCATTTGACCCTCCATTCACTTCGATCTCAAAATCATATGTGAATGAAGTTTGCCCCAATTGATCTTAGGGCTACTCCTGAGCTACCTAGTGCTAGATTTGACAAGTGTGCACCACACCTAAGCCACTAGACTCACCTAGGTCAAGCTACTAGTCCATACCCCCCCTTAATAGTACAACCAAAGAAAAAACAAAGTCCTAAACTACTCTAAGTGCCTCTTCAACACCAAACGACACTTAGAACTAGTCCATCCTTAACCTTGTCGTCCATCTTTTGAAAACCAAAATGATTTCCATCATAGGGGCATGACAACCATGATTGCCCAATCAATTGCCATTACCATGACCTAACTTAATTGCCTCTGCAAAACACACGTTAGTCATAGTAATCTCGTATTGTCATTAATTACCGAAACCCAACTAGGGGCCTAGATGCTTTCACTCGCTAAGTTCGACGAAGTGTCAGGACTCAAAACAAATTTTCAGAAGTCATCTGTCATCCCCATAAGATGTCAAGGCATCGATCTAGATGAGGTCCTGTGTGATTTCCCTGCAAGACGAGCGCATTTCCCAACTAAATACTTGGGTCTACCTCTATCAAGCACCAAATTGCGGAGGATTGTTAGCCTCTTGTTAATAAAGCTGTGAGCAAGCTCACTGTTTGGAATGGCAAGAATATTAATCATACAGGAAGGTCCACTTTGGTCAAAGCCGTACTCACCTCACAAGTTGTATATTGCCTCACATCACTAAGAGCTCCTAAAGCCACGTTGAAGGAAGTTGACAACCTCAGAAAGCGGTTCCTCTAGGCTGGATTCGAGAAGTTAACTGGAGGGAAATGCAAAGTGAATTGGCCACGGTCCACAAGACCAACTGAATCTGGGGGTCTAGGCATTCTTCATCTTTGAAAATTTGCAAGAGCACTACATCTCAGATGGTTGTGGAAAGAATGGAAGGAAGAAGGAAGGACGTTGAACAACCCGGATACGATGTGTGACACCACTGATAGGCTACTATTCGCTGCAGCAACTTCAATCACAATTGGAGACGGCATGAGAGCATCTTTCTAGAGTAGCGCCTGGCTCCAAGGTCAAAGGCCCCAAGACTTAGCGCCAAATACCTTCCGAATTTCAAAAAACAAAAACAAGTCACTCATTAAGGGTATGCAAAACAGAGCGTGGATTAGGGACATAGACTTGCGACATGCAAGCTTCACCTCCTAGCACTTCATGGAGTATGTCCAGCTTTGGAACACTCTTAGTCACATCCAGCTACATTCAGTGAGGTAGGATAGCATCGTTTAGAAATTTAACCTGGATGGAAAATTCACAACAGGATCGGCCTACCACGTGCAATTCATTGGAGCAACGATGACAAATTTCAAACAGCTCATCTGGAAAGTCTGGGCACCGCCAAAATGCAAGTTCTTTGCATGGCTGCCCATCCAAAACAGAATCTGGACGGTGGATAGGCTGGAAGTGTGGAGATGGCCGAACAATGGAGTGTGCCCCATATGCAGGCGCAGTCAAGAATCCGGCATCCACCTATTCCAATACTGTCGCTATACTAGGCGTGTCTAGGAGGACATTGCAATTTGGTTAGGTAATGAGCAGCTGCGACCTTCAGCCTGGGTGCCAGGAGACTCAATACACACTTGGTGGGACAACATGGATCGATGGCAAGACGAGGTCTTTGCTCAATCATCATTCACGTTTGTTGGGAGGTGTGGAAGGAAAGAAATGCAAGAATTTTTTAGTGCAAGGAATCCGTGTCAACACGGCTTCTCCAGAAAATCAAGGATCAAGCAAGTCTATGGACAATGGCGGGAGCAAAACACGTTTCTAACTTACTTTTGCACGCTTGAAGTAAGCTGCTTCTGAGATGGGGGCTCTGGAGTTGTGGCTTCGTTTTGTACATTGCTGTATATGGTTGTACTGTGCCTTTCTAGGCTCCCTCTTTTTAATACAATAGGCAGCTCTCCTGCCGGTTCCGTTTCAAAAGAAAGAAAGAAAGATTGGGCACTCCTATTCCAGTAGAGGGGGTGGAGGTGTGGCATGGGGATTTGAAGTGCTTCGAAGGTTTCTTATGGATGTGCCAAAACATTAGTGTCATGCTTGAATAGATCTTGGGGATGCGTACATGCAATCCTTCACATAGATGTTCTATGTAGTTTTAGGGTTTTTTAATTACCATTGCAAAAACCCAATTAAAACATACACTATTAACCAGACAGATAGTCCATGTGAACCAACACTTACACTATTTTTGCTAAGTCCAGACTGACCATTCACCGATCTGACGCCCGACCTAACGGAGGGTCTGTGGTGCCCAACAATTTTACCACATCCTTAAAAAGCCATAACTACAAACTCCATCCAAATCGATGACTAGAGTCATCCAGAATCATATCGGGTGGCCTCTTGGGGTGTTGGTTGTGCCCCGTCAAATGATCCGCAACCCCAGACAAACCATCCATGATCTCTCTCTGTTCAACGGGTTTACTCCCTCTATCCTGTAATATAGTACATTCCAAAAAATTTAGGACAACTTAAGGGAATCCTCAAATGACGCATGTGCCCATAGATTGATACCAATTAAGGTGTTTCTCCTCAAATTATGGTTTCCTTTCCAATAAACTTTGCCAAATCTAGTCATTGACATATGTAGAATGTACTATAATTTAGTATAAATTTTAGAAGTCACAATGCACTATATTTTAGGACGGAGAGATCGGTATTTTGGTTGGCCATGTCAGATAGTCCACCATTGCACAATAAGCTTTCCATATGAATGCGTCTAAAAAAAAGCTTTCCATATGAATGAGGCAAGGAGGAAATTGATGATCCTCTCGTCGGTCTCGACGAGGACAATTTGGACCTTCGTACAATTTGGGTCTTCTGACGATATATAAGAAGCTTGACGTGTGGTTAGGCTAAGAACATCGCACCAGCGGTTGCAACACTCCCCTTGTTTTCCATGAACGCTAGAACAGATCTCCTGATGAGGTATTAGATATTCGATGTCGTCCATGACTTTGATGATAGTGTATCTTGTGTTATTTCTCACATCTTCATTTTGGCAATGGCGAGGATTCTCTAAGAAGACTAAACATCGGATTTTTGTTTTACTCGTAACGATGTCCATACATTACAATCGAATGTTCCGGCTGATTTATTGTGAGAGAAAAACACTATTTTGATTGGAAAAAGAAGCTGAAAAATACGGATTATGAGACAAGTAAACATGCCCTTAGAATTAGATTTTGTAATTTGTATGCGCACGGGCTGTAAGTCCGGATCATGAACAAGAAAGTAATCGCTAGAACCGATCTGCCGATGTGCACAATGTAAAATATGCTGATATGCCAGATTATGCTAACCTGCTTGTTGCTGTTTCACTAAAGTTGGGGACGGTTGATCCATGGAGCGAACTGTAGCAGAACTATCGATCTATCTAATTAGTATAGGAGCATCGGTTGCTCCATTTCTATTAGCTGCTGACCCAGGTCGCAGCTTGCTAGGCAAAGCAAGCAACGAAGCTTTGCCATGGGAGAGGTACGAGTAGAAGAAGAGGGAGGGGATGGAAGGATCTCGCATTCTCGCTAGTGACCGGGCCCATGTGCGCGGCCTTCCCAGAGCCGAGGTCCACCGCGTCCACACCGAGATCACCAGGATCGCCGCCAGATCCGGCCGGTCGCCGGGCCGCTCCTCCAGGACAGGAGGTCCGCCATGGAGCGGACGTAGTCATCGTCCACGCACTCCTTGGCCTCCTGCTCCAGCCGTACCCCGTAGCGCGCGGCCGAGGAGGATGAAGAGGTCAGCTGGGCCGCCGTGGACTCAGAGCACCCCGAGCACGATGCACGATGCCGTTGCCGTAGTAGCCCCGGGGAAGCTCGGGCTTCACGCGCGCCGCCGCACGTCCACGGAGAAGAGCAGTTTCACGCGGAGGCTCGGCGCCTCGTTGGCGTTCCTGTTGCCGTTGGTGACGGCGCTGGTGCCGCGGCTGCTGTGCTCTGGGTGCATGAAAGCGACGCGCAGGACGCGGCGCCGGCAGGGGAGGGTCGTTGTCGCCGGCGTCCGGTGCGTCGTGGCCGCCTCGCGCGGCGCGCGCCGAGGTGTGGGGGAACTGCGCGGTGCCGATCGATGCCATCGCAGAGCAGTGGTTGTTGGCTGTGCAGATGACCGTGCCGCCGTCTGACGGTGCCATCCCAAGACGGAGTGAGCGCGAACGGTGAAGGCTTGTGCGGAGGGTCGTCCTCGCCTCGGGGAATTCGGGAGAGGAATGCCGGAACGGGACGGCACAAGGCTCGGGTGATAGGGCCGGTGCCGCCGCCGCTGCCGGACGAAGGGAAGGGGTGGACTGAACTGCTTGACCCTGAGCTGCTATCTAGGTATCGGCTCGGTTGGATGGACCGCTATATGGGCTAAAACGAATCACGCCCATCTTTATGCTTCACCAAGCATTTGGTATGCAACTATGCAAGGCTGGGCAGTGAAAGTTCAGTCAAGGTGCATTGTTCACGAGCGAAGAAGTTTCGTCGAGATCTTGCCCTCATTTTCAAGGTTTCAAGTCTCTCGAGGTTTGACAATATGGACGAGACATAGAACTATGATGATAAGACGAGGAAATGGTTTACGTGTTTCTTTGCCGATTCGGCAAGCTGCTAAAATTACGCTCAGATAGCGTAACTTTACAGTCTAGGCCTGTAGTTCCACCGGCTTTGCCACGATCGAAGCATTGACCCTGCAACCCTGCTACGCTCCCCTGTTTCACTCCAGCGTGCTGCGTGCGGCACCACCTTGCGTCATGAAGCTGCAAACTACAGTCGTCGTCGTCGTCGCACTTCAATAATTAGCAAGCTAATGGCTTGGCTGCTCGCCGCGGCAGTAAGCTCGGAACTGCCGGAGCCACACGTTCCTCCTGGTGGACGACCAGAGGCCCATTCGTGGCAGCATGGTGGCACGGTGGCAGCTCGGCGGCAAGATCCCGAAGCTGCTGGTGGCCGCGGCGAGCGTGGCGGCCGTCCTTCTCACGGCCGCCATCCTCTTCGAGACCCGGTGGACGCCTTCCAGCGACGCCCAGACATGGGTCTCGGCCGGAGTCCGCGTGGTCATGAGCGCCAGTATGTTCTCGAACAGTCCCGTCAGTGTCACTATAGTTATTCCTTTTTCCGTAATAACAAGCGACTAGTTTTCTTTGTGCGCGGCAGTGTCTGAGAAGGGCGGCATCCCGTTGGCGACGGTGCCGAACCCCGGCGACCGGCTCCTGGGCGGTCTCCTCTCGCCGGACTTCGACGACAGCTCCTGCCTGAGCCGGTACCGAGCCTCACTCTACCGCCAGGCGTCGCTGCACGCGCTCTCACCGCACCTCGTCTCCGCCCTCCGCCGGTACGAGTCCCTCCACCGCCTCTGCGCCCCGGGCACTCCCGCCTACGCGCGCGCCGTCGAACGCCTACGCGCCGCCTCTCCCAACGCCTCCGCCGGCGACGGCGCTGACCCCTCTGGCGCGCGGTGCAACTACCTGGTGTGGACACCGAACGCCGGCCTCGGCAACCGCATCCTCTCCATCGCCTCCGGCTTCCTCTACGCGCTGCTCACCGACCGCGTGCTGCTCCTCCACAGCGGCAGCCGCCACGACCTGGACGGCCTCTTCTGCGAGCCTTTCCCGGGGTCCACGTGGATCCTGCCGGAGAAAGACCTCCCCGGCCAAGAGGGCCTCGGCATCCGCACCAACGAGAGCCTCGGGAATACGCTGAGACGTGGGGAGGCGCTCGGCGGGGCGCCGTGGCTGTACGTGCACCTGCTGCACAACTACTACGCCCAGGACAAACTCTTCTTCTGCGACGACGTGCAGGCCGAGCTGGCGCGCGTGCCCTGGCTCGTGTTCCAGGCGGACAACTACTTCGTGCCGGCGCTGTTCCTGATCCCGCGGCACGAGCGGGAGCTCGCGCGCATGTTCCCGCGTCGCGACGCCGTGTTCCACCACCTCGGCCGCTACCTCTTCCACCCCAGCAACACGGTGTGGGGCATGGTGACGCGGTACCACGGTTCCTCCTACTTCGCCCAGGCGGACGAGCGCGTCGGCATCCAGGTGCGCGTGTTCAAGTGGGCGCCCATCTCCACCGACGAGCTCTACGGCCAGATCCTCAGTTGCGCGCAGCACGAGAACATCCTGCCCGGCGTCAGTGTGCCCACCAGAGCCAACACCGCCGCCGTGGGCTCCGGCACCCAGGCGCCGGCCAAACGCAAGGCGGTGGTCGTCGTTTCCCTATACAACGAGTACTCTGAAAAGCTCGGGGAACTGTACCACGAGCACGGCGGCGTGGCAGGCGGGGAGGCGGTGAGCGTGTTCCAGCCGACGCATCTGGGCGAGCAACGCTTCGGTGACCGGCAGCAGGACCAGAAGGCGCTCGCGGAGATGGTGCTACTCAGCTTCGCGGACGTGCTGGTCACCACCGGCGTTTCGACGTTCGGGTACGTCAGCCAGGGGCTGGCCGGGCTGAGACCGTGGGTGCTTATGGCCCCTAACCATGGAAAGGCGCCCGACACGCCGTGCCGACTGGCCCCCACAATTGAGCCGTGTTTTCACTCGCCGCCCAACTACGACTGCCGGGCGAAGGCCAGTGGTGACACCGGCAGGATGGTCCGGCACATCCGGCACTGCGAGGACTTCCCACAGGGCGTCCAGTTGCTGCAGTCATGAGCTACTATTATTTAGTTCGTATACTTCACATATTCAAATCTTTTTTTCCTCCTTATACTGTGATTAAAAAGTTCTGAATAAAGACTTATTGATGACAAATTTTGGACGACATATATAACTTCTCACGTGAGCCAACAAGTCACAAATATAGCTTGGGCAAGCAATTTTGTTAGGGAACAAGGGAGCATGGATGAGAGTGTTCAGTTTTCTCTGGAGTGAGTCTTGTATATTGTCAAATTACAATGTGAGGCATACCAACTTCATCTGTGTTTTCCCTTGGAAACAACAAAGGATAAAAGCCCACGGTCAAGTAAATGAACATAAAAAGGGTTCTATCCCTATATGAAGCCACAATTAAGTTGCAGAAATGAACATTTCTGTAATCTAAAAGCCTCTCGAATGGAACACACCCTCCATTATCAAAATGATGAAATACCTGATGCTTGGCGCAGTTTCTCGTAGGAAACCCAGAACACAAACTGCCATGGGCCAAGCCTTGCCCATGTAGGCAAGAAACCCTTCCACAGTGCCGTTACGCCCTCATGTCTGACAGTCTTGACCAAGCAATCGTAAGAACTCCTGTACATAGCTTTACCCTCCTTCCCTTGGTTCATCATCCTTGTTTTGATTACATCCGCTGGGCAGCTCAAGGTTGTCGCAGACAGCCCCGACGCGACAGAGGCCAATGTGTGAGCATAAAGATTGTCATCGCAAATCTGCTTGCGAATGATGAGACGCTTTGCCTGATCGTAGCATGTCAATTCACCCATGTTGACAAGAAATGCCCTCTGTGCATTTGGAACAACCCCCTTCCAAAGTCCCCGAAAGCCCTCCGCTCGTATGATTTTAGTGAAAGCATCTGCGATTCCAGTGTACCGTGGTTGAATGCCTTGGTTCAATATCCTGCTGTCTGCTTGCATCCTTACCTTCATGAGGTCAGCAGGGCTTGACACCACCTGCACTGCAAAGAAGGAAGAAAATTACTTCCGGTGTTACATAGCAATTCAATGGGCTAAGAAATAGTTACTTCAAACATAAAAAAGGAATTAATTTGGGAACATCAATACCATGCAATATTGACTTTAGAGCATCACCTTCTACTAATACAGTACCATTTTACCATTGCAAAAATTGAATATGCTGATTGACCCAGTAGCTTGCAAGGAACTCTGTGAAAAAGACTAATCAAGCATAGATGACTTGTGGATATTCTGATCTGCAGTCCTATCTGTTCTCAATCAATCGAAAGACAGATCCCCACATATAGGACCTATTTTAGGATGTCTAATTTGATTTCCTTGTTCATTTGTAAACCTAGTAGGTCTGAACAAAAGTGTTAGTCAAGCCATCTTTCTGTATTTTGTGTAATCATATTCACTCACCAAAATGGGTGTCACCAGCTGCTCCAGTATCATCCCATCCAACGGTAGGTATGAGTCATGTCGGTGCATAGCTTAAGTCTAGATCTGGATCCTGAGTTCCTGACACCCCTTAGTGCTATTTACACGTTTTGATCTAGATCTGGTAGTTCACCAGCACCTTGTCAGCAGTGGACAAGGATATCATTTCAGATAAGTATTTTTTGCCACTATGGCCCTATCAGCAACTGGCAACTGTTAAGGAAGATCAGATGTGTTGGAAGCAATTGGTCATGCTACAGAGGTGAAGGATTTTGGCTTGCTGAATTTTGGCTGAAAAAGACTGTTCTGGCTGAATTGTTGTGAGAGAAAAACACTGTTCCAGTTGGAAAAAAAAGCCGAAGCCGAACGGGGCCACTGAAGTGGCGTCTCACTGTTGCTGCTGCTCAATGAAGCCATTGGTTCATCATGCCATGAAACAATTGAACCCAAAAAAAGCAAAAAAAAAAAAAAAAACTGTGTGTTGCTTTATCATCCACCACACTACTTAAATATTGAGACTGATGATGAATTGATGACAGATCAGTTAAAAGTGTCTCTCATTTTTGGCTAAGATGCTTGGCCATGTGCAATTTAATAGGTAGACCAACAAAAGAGTAAATTCATAAGTCGAAATATACATCAAGTATGGTCTGGATCAACATTTTGCCAACCTAGCCCAAAATAAGTTGTAAATTTCGCACTAATTACACTGTGAGAATGACGAGTCACAACCTAGCTGCAAATCTCATGTCGACTTACAGATTTGGTATTCACGAGTCACATTCGTAACCACTGTATTTGCATGTACATCAATCGGTTGCTTAATTGGGCGCTGGTCTAACAAAAAAAAAACAAGCAAAACAAAAGGTTACTTGTGCCTAAGAAAATTTTACCTGCGCGGCAACGCCGGAGAGTCCCCCAGCGAGCGCCTTCTCAAAAAGGCCAACCTCCCGCCCCTCGCTAGCGAGGGTGGACCGGAGATGCTCGTACCCCACGATGCGCAGCGGGGTGTACATCAGGTGGCGGAGGACGGCGGGGGAGAAGCCCCGGTAAGCCCCGCCATCGCGGACGAGCTCGGCCGCGACCCGGATTACGCCGCGCCCGCCCGCACCGCCGGGGATGCGGTGGAGCTGGAGGCGCGTCTTGACTGCGTCTAAGGGGTAGGTGGAGGCCTCCGCCATGGCGGCCGAGACCGACGAGAGGGAGACCTTGGCAAGGGCCCCGCGGCCGCCGGCGGCGGCCTCGGTGTGGGCTGCCATCTCGGCCTGGGACTAGGGAAGCTAGTGGTCTGCGTGGCCTGCGTTTTCTAAAAGCCCAATCTGTGTCAATCTGGACCGAGCAAAAGTGATCCAACGGACTCCCCATGCGGCCATGCCGGAGGACGGGAAGGCGCGGTGGCGGCCGATGCCGGACGACGGGAAGGCGCGGCGGCGGCCCCTGACTCCCGGTGGGTGATTTCGTAGTTCAAAATGCCGCGCGGGGTGCCCGGGGGCGCATCTCTTGCAGCTGCAGCCTCGCAGGCAACCGCCCACCCCCTCCAAAACGTTTGGAATGTAGAAATTTCATATGGATCCTGAAATTAGGATTTTTTTTTTCAATTTGCATAAATTTCAACGAAACTTTAGCAGTTCGAGGAGCTGGCGCTGGTGGAAGAACAAATAATATCTTATCTGACTCTGAGCTAAATAACTATACACTATATCACATGATCAAAGTGTTACTGTGCTCGTGCCGTAATTACAATATGGCTTCTTGGTCTACAATATTTTCGGTGATGGTACAACAACAACGATGTACACAGTCCGACAATAGCTAAATTGCCTATCCCTATTGTACAACTCAGTTCTTCTCGTAGAACTGCAATCTCATCGTTTCAATCCGTTAGGTGCTAGTAGTATTCAAAATCCTCAGCCTGTTCGCTTGGTCGTATTTGACTTATAGCCATGGCTTATCAGCCAACGAACAGGGCGCCTGTTTGGCATCTGCATGGATGCAAAAATAACATCTGCTTTGACGCATCTCCTATATCCTTTCTGTGATGCAGAGTCGTGTCCTTACCGGATGCTGTACAGTACAGTGTGGCTGATGATAGGAGTGGTGACTGACTGGTGTCTCCATTCATGCTGCCTGAAGGACTTGCTGTTGCTGCTGCTGCCCCTGCTGCTTCCCACTTCTTGCGGATTCGTAAGGGAGCGTGTTCAGCACCTTCACCCGGAACATAGCCTGTAGGTTTTGCACAAGTTGATCATAATTCAGAAGAAAAGGTTTCACAGAAATTCAGGGATGAACGCGATAAGATGAACAATTGGCTAAATAAGAGGAGCAAACCAAATGTGAAGAAAAAATGAAAGGCAAAGGACGGTAATATAGCTACCTTCTTATCGGAACCAAACTCAATGACATCGGAGGGACGGAAACGAACTGGAAAGTTTGGTGGCACGCGGTAACGTCTACCTTCATTGCTGGACAATCACATGAAGATCAGTGAGTAAAATCTTGCTACTGAAATTCTCAAGGAAGGGCATAGAACCATGGTTCTTTCAGGGCTTACTCGGTAATCCAGGTACCATGTTCACTCCCAAGATCAGTCAGATAGAAAGCCTTATTCTTGCATGTGATAGTAGCATGCCTTTCTGATATCTGCAATGAAGTTCAGAAAACTGAAGACTGGTACAAGCAGTTTATGAATAGAAGGCCTTGTACAATGCAACACATGAGAAGTTTGTTAAAACCCTGTTATCATTTTGATTAACTAACCTGTGGAAACGACAATGATAGGGAAGAATCTGAGTCATTAGGATCTGACCGACTTCTGCAAAACAATATGCATTTGTTTAGTTCCATAAAGCCTCGATTGAGTGCAATTAGGGCAGAAATGAATTTGCTATTTAGGCATACCCAACAGAGAGTGACCTCTGCTCGTCCCTAATTAAACGAATGGGCTGCAAGCTATTGTTGTTTCCTTCACTTGTTGGGAAGAGGTACCATCTGCAAATAGTTTTATGAATGATTTTTTTTTTGGTTCAAAAGTACTGAAATAAAGTAATAAATCAAACACTTGTTTAACAAAATGAAATGAAATTAAAGAAGAAACAAAGAACGTACTCTCCACCCATAGCTTGTTCCAGCGCGTCATCATCCTCAAACCATCGATAAAGCTGGTCATTTGCCTTCAGAATGATGCTAGATGTCAGTAAATATTAAATGCTGGTACTAAATCAAATTCACGGTTACTATGAGTCTATGACAACGTACCTTGTCGGAAAGTCGGCAGCTTAAAGGTCTTCCTTCTAGCTTTGAGCTGTACACAATGAAAAGTTCCATTTGCATGATGAGTACGGATATGGTAATTGGGAACTAAGAGAGCCTGTGTGGTGTTTATTTCTTTGCGTGGGACATTTAAACTAATGGAAACCTATTACTTGCATATGTGCTTGAAATGGGAACACATGACAGTAATTAATTATTTTGGTATGCACCTGTTGCCACCAAGCACCCAGCTCAGCATCGCAGGCATTCCATACTTGATGAAGAATCTTCCACCAACTCTTCCAGGGTGTGGTATCCGCAACTTGGTCAAAAACTACAGGTAAATAATTTTAGTATGCAGTTCAAGTAGTTTCAGTATAGAGTTCTTCAGTAATGCTCTTAGGAGGATGGTAATGAGATAATACAGTTCCGATTTCTGAACCTTATTTCAGAAATCCAATAAAATTGATGGTGACATACTTTAATTTAAATCTTGTTGAAAAGAGAATGAGATCTGTGCATTGAATAACAAAAAAAATGTGTGTGTTTATCACATACCGATAAAGGTCCTAGACCAACACCCAAATATGGTCTATAGGTGGTAGCCATGATTGCTGCCATTCTTGCCAGTCCATGTATAATAGCAACACGCAGCCTTCTCTCTTTCTCATAACTGCAGGCACAATATGCAAACGAATATTTTGCTTTTCAGCCAACTTACTATATAGTATGGACCAGAGTTTAAAATCCATGCAAGAACAGGATTGCTTTGAAGTTGGAGCCAATTCAAGCATTCAAATAAAATCCAGTGGATGTTTCAAGAAACACTATCTTTATACTACTAAACAAGCTAGAAAAACTTACCACCTCAAGGAGGAAACTATGTCCATAGGAGTTTCAGTCTTGACACTCTCTTGCCAGGCATTCTCTAGCTCTACAGCCAGCTGGTAACCATCCTACGGAAACAAATACAAGGTGGTTATTGTGTTACGTAATAGATATCAACACCAGAACATATCCATGGTAGGCTAAGAAATTGCATACCTCAATAGCCATGCAGCCACCTTGACCCAGATTTGGCTGCATAGCATGCACAGAATCACCAAGCAAGGTGACACGACCTTTCCCCCAATTAATAGTAGGTGGGCGGTCGTATATATCCCGGCGAAGAACCGCTTCTTCATCAGTTGCATTTATCAAATCAACGACATTGTCACACCATCCGTCAAATATCTCAAGCAATCTTTTCTTTTTGCCTGTTAACATTAAGCAGATGATAAAGCTTGTGTGGGGCATATCAGAAGTATTGTTCTCATTTTGATCACAACCTACAATGAGGCAGTATCTATTTCACGAATTAAGCATGAAAACTTCTGTAAGGACTCACCATTTTCAGGGTCAGTGCCACCAGCCTCTTCATTGTGAAAAGCATACCATTGCATTTTACCAGCACCGACATCTGAAGAGACGAAGTATTGTTTGTGACCAAGAAATACTCGGTACCTGCAACAGAGGAAAATGGAGGACATGGTCATGGCACAACGAAATTTCAGTCAATCTGAAAATCACACCCATCATTCCATGATCCATGTAACATACCCAACTGTATCGATATCAGGTGGCACAAAATCTGCAATTCCAGTGTAGCAAGTGTAACCTGAATAGGTGGCGTCTGAATGCCCGAATAGTGTCTTCCTCACCTATCCAGAAAAGGAAACTTCAAGCAAATCAGGTTCCGTTTGTGCTTGTTTCTGACCAAAAGGAGAATTAATTGTATTACCTTTGACCATATTCCATCGGCACCAACCAAAAGGTCACCTTCAAATTTTCTACCGTCCTCCAATATGGCAGTAACCTACTCCCAATCGACAAACACTGCAAGTTTAGAGACAGGCAATGGCAACTCTTGCAGCCAGATTTAAGTTGGCATGGCCACAAAAACATATTTGCTCATTCACCTTACTGCCATCATCTATAAAATCGACTACATGGCTTCCATTCAATATAGCATCATCGCCGACTGCTCGAGCAAGGATTTGTTGCAGAGTCATGCGGCTAATGACCCTTGTGACTGGGAGCCCCCGCTCAGCTGCAGGAGTAAACGTATCAAACTTGATGTACCTGAATCCAATTGGCACTGTCAAATGGCTGCCTCCAGCAAAGGAATATCTATCTTAAAGCTAACCACGCAAAAAAAGAGACACGCCATGGAAATTTGCAAACAAAAGCTGTAAAATAAGCACCAAGAAAATTTCGGCAGCTATATATATCTTTAGATCTAGTAGTAATAAGAGACTTGCGTGTTAACGATAGTATCTACTACAATCAACTGAAACAGGCGAGCATAACGACTAGCCAACCACCAATTGGTTCGTACTAACTGCCAACACTGCAGACAAATGAACCCTTGTGGCACTAAATTCCACTAGCACCGGCCAAAGGAAGTCAAAATTTTCTCCAGGTAGCGTCAAAAACAAACAAATTCACGGTGACTTGGTGCAAGAATTTTGCTCTGGCGCGGGAACGACCCCCACTGCCTCCCTTACCAGGAGCCAGAGACGCCGTCGACGATGCCGTTGACGCGGTCCCCCGTGACGCAGCCAGCGTCCATGATCTCGTCGGCCGCGGCGGCGTCGACGGCCTCGAGCGCGGCGAGCGCGTTGCTCTGCAGCTGGATCGGGCCGCGGTACCTCCCTTCCCCGCGGACGGCGCTCATGTCCCGCTCCAGCACCAGCACCTCGAACCCCTTCCGCTTGGCGGCGAGCGCGAAGACCAGGCCGCCGATGCCGCCGCCGGCCACCAGGACGCGCGCCTTCTTGGGCTCGGCCGCTGCCGGCATTGCCGCGGTGGCGACGAGCCCCGCGCGGGCAGGAGGAACGCCGGGCCTACGCCTACGCCTCTCCCGCGGCGCGGACGGGGAGGGAAGCGCTCGGTTGCGGCTGGAGAAGGGGTGGAGCCGGATCGCCGTCTGAGAGGCCCGAGAGGAGGGGAGGGAGATCGCCTTCGGCGATGCCCGCGCTGTGCTCAGCATGGTCGTGGTATGCAAGCTTTGCTATGAGTGAGCAGCTGGTATGCTGTGCTACACTGCTACTACTTTATCGGCGGTCCGTCAGTGAGGCAATAGCTGGAGTCAAACCTCAGCTGAGGACTCTGCTAGCTCGAGACTTGAGTGTGTTTTCGATTTGGCATTGGTTATCGGGCTGACAGGAGAGCTGGGAACTGGAAGAGGAAGCTCGTTGTCTCTGTGAAGCTCTAGATCAGAACTTCAGAAGGGTGCTTCAATGGACGCGCCTGCCAAGATAGCGAATTTTATGGGGGTGGCAGGACCGGGGCCGGAGAAGAATGGAATTTGCAGCTGAGTGGAGCGGAGACCGAAACTGCGGTCGGTCTCGCTTTCGGCCTCTAGTGCAGGAAGGAGGGAGGGGGTGGTGGATTGGTGGAAGCTTTGCCTCAGTGCGGTTGGGCGGTCGGTTGGACGTGGCGGCCGTGGGTTGCCTGCCGCGCGGCGCAGACCACGCGAGGTGGGGTACCCCGGATAGAAAACGAAACAGGCACCATTTTACCGGCCGACCAGGTCAGGCGACCAGGGCGCGCCATGCTCCATAGTCCCATACTCCTACGTATGAAAACGGATCGGATACGAACGGATATGACTGATATTACATTTGTTTTCGTATTTCTGTCCGAATTCGAATTCGAATACGGATATTGTCAATCATAACGGATAGTATATGATTGGATATCGACATCATAAATATACGATTTGATTATTCGAATACGGATACGGTATCGGATGTTGAATATCTAGACTCGGATACGGACAGATTTGAACTCCTCTAAATAGATTCGGTCTCGAATACGGTCGGAAAATATCCGTACCGTTTTCACCCCTACTCCTACGGCTCCTAGCAGGAAGCAGGCAACTCGATGGTTTGGTCCCGCCGGGTGGGGCGGGGCGGGGCGGGGCGGGTCGCGTCGGCTCGCCCCTCCCGCCGTGGGCGGCACGGCGCTTCCTCCCTGGCCCTGGTTGCTGGTTGACCATTATCGGCATTGTGCGCCGCGCGCACCACATGGGGTCTGTTTGGATGCAGCCCTTTTGCCTGGAAAATCTGTTGCCTGTGATCCGCCCGAAAGGTATTTGGTTGAAGCCCTGGGCAGCAGCTTGGGCAAGGCAGATGCTTTTTCCCCAGTCAACCAAAATCGACTGTCTGGCTGTTGCTTGCAGTTGCCTGGACTTTAATCACCGTGAAAACTCTTTAGGCCCCACAACTCTCTTTTCCAGGCAGTAGCTTCAACCAAACAGTCACCCATGCGGTTGCCTGACCAGGCAAAATCGAATGGATTTGCAGGCAACATATAGTGTTGTTTAGTTTTCCCAAACTCCCAACTTTAACACTATATAAAAAGAAGATTTCCCGTCATATCAAACTTACGATACATGTATGGAGTACTAAATGCAGATGAAATCAAAAACTAATTGCACAGTTTGGTTGAACTTTGCGAGACGAATCTTTTGAGCCTAATTAGTCAATGTTTAGATAATAATTCACAAATACAAACGAAATTGCTACCGTGTTTATCATCCCATCAAACACTGTGCAAATGCCGATTCGGACCGAACTAAACAAGGCCATAGGCAGCATCTCACTTCAGGCAAATGATTCAGGGCTGCAAACAAACAAGCCCAACGTGGTGCGGCGATCGTGCCGAGGTCGGCAGCGTGCTGGCACAGGTGACGTGGTCGGATGAGATTGCCGCGGCAGCGAATTGATTTTTTGCTGCGCGGCATGCTCGTGCGTATAATCTGGTCAGGATAATCGAATTTGGAGTACCACGTTTCCAATAGCGTAGCGGTGCCGGTGCGCACCAGACGGCGCTCGCTAGGGCGGCAGATGTGCGGCCCTATTCGCTTGCCGACTTATCAACTACAACAGCTTCAGCCGTGGCAACGAAACAGCTTCGGCAGGCCAGTTTATTTATCAGCCGAACAGAGCCGCAAAGACGCGCGAGCACAGCGCACGCAGAAACAGGGCAAGCCATCCGAATCCGAGACATACTAGAGGGCAAGTTGCAGGAGGAAAGGAAGGAGGAATGGATGGGCGTACCAGGAGCCGGACATGCCGTCGACGAGGCCGTTGATGCGGTCGCCGGTGACGCAGCCGACGCGCATGACCTCCTCGGCGACGGACATGTCGATGGCCTCCAGCGCGGCCAGCGCGTTGCTCTGGACCTGGATGGGCCCGCGGTACTGCCCTTCCCCGCGCACCGCGCTCATGTCGCGCTCGAACACCGTCACGTCGTACCCCTTGCGCCGCGCCGCCAGCGCGAACACCAGCCCGCCGATGCCGCCGCCGGCCACCAGCACCCGGGGCTTCTTCCGCCGCGCCTCGCCGACCGCGGGAGCGACGGCCGCGTCGGGAGGCCGCATTGACGCCGCCGCGCACCTGCCCCGTGCCCGCTGCCTGGCCTTGCCGCCGCCGAAGCACTGCGGGTGCGGCGCCGGGAGCGCGTGCTGGTGCTGGTGCTGCCGCGGCTCGTCGTGGCAGAAGAGGAGCGCCGAGAAGTGCGCCTTTGCGGGTGAAGTGGCGGAGAGCAGCGCCATGGGCGCGCGAGCACGGCGACCCGCAGGCCGCAGCTGAGCTGAACAGGAAGCTTTGCTTTGCGAAGGAGAAGACGTTGGGCGAGTGGAACTGGATCAGTGGAGGGAGGAGGTGTTATGCCGTGCTGCCCGTGCAACTCTGGTTCTAGAACTTCCATTGGGCTGAGGGCTGAGGCTGTGAAAGGGAGCAGAGGGGAGCTGGAGGGGACTGGTGGACTGGTGGTGCTGAGGGGAGGAGGAACTAGAGCCAATCACCTGATCCCATTTGGAAGAACGGATCTTGCGGGACCAGGATTATATCTTGCCATGTCCTCACCATCCTCTGCGGACACGTTGTGGCGGCAACTCTGTACCACACCGTGCAACAGTAGGTAGCACAGGGCTACACGGGTTAAGTAACTCCGTTTCAAATTATAACACGTTTTAGAACTCTTTTATTTTACTAGAATCATACCCGTACGTTGCACGGGAATGAAATAATATCACGATAATTTATGTTTTGAATGTTCGCAACAATCTATTTTTACACAATTATCGTTGTTGACCAAGTATTCAAGTTTCGATATGGAATTGAAAGATCTTATTTCATACCTTAACAACCGTGTTCATTATACTACTTATTCTACCACATCTTGTCCTGGCTATGTTGAAACGTAATCGTGTTGGAAGTGTCGTCCTGCATATAAGATTTTTACAAGATTTAAAGCTCGTTTGAGTATAACACATTAACGTGAGATGACCATATTGAACGCACGCGTCAGCCAGGAACGTGGCCGGATAGTACACGTATTTGGTAGTCTTTGTGAACGGATCGTATACGTTTTTTTATCACCAAGTAGATAATTACTTTAGTGTTTTTTTAGGTGTAGAGAAGAGAAGAGATATTATTGGCTTATCAAATCTACATAATCTAATAAAAAAAAGTAGCATACTAGTTAACAATGTATTGACATGCTTTGAGCATTGTGTAAATCTGCAAAAGAGCCTATGCAAATAACCAAACATGGACAAATTGTACTGTACAAGCCTAGATACAGACTAATGCAAACAATCAGTCAGAACCTTAGTGAGCGGTACTATAGGTTACTATGTAAAATTGGTAAGTAGTGACTGGTTGAGTACTAGCTAGTGCGATCTTAGATCATGCCTTTTTTTTAGGTAGGAGTTTAAGGACCTTGATAGGGTCCATTGGAGCGAGAACTTAATGGGATTTTTGAGGGGCTAGGTTAAGGCGTGATTGGTAGTGCGATTGAGAAGCGTGCAACCTTGTCTTCCTCCGCAGCGGTGCCCTTGCCCTCGCCGCCTCGCCAGTGCTCTCGTCATCCGCGACTAGTCTCGAGGCCTCTAGGTGCCTCAGACCCTTTCCCTCCCTCCACTGGCGACCGACAGCTCTTGTTGCCGCCACCTCGACCCCGACATCCCATAAGCACTTGCTCTCCTCTAACCAGTCGAGGAGCGACGCTGCCATCGCCAGCCTTGTCTACCGTCCCAGCCAATCCTCCTGCCACCCGCGGCTTTGGCAGTGTCCTTGCCACCTCACTGCACCGCGCGGGTCACCACTGTGTCGCAGCCACCTCTCCCAAACCCTCTTTTAGGTCCGCCGAGTAGAACTAGAACCCTAAACTTTACCCTTATCTTCTTCTCCAATTGGGTCCGGGATGGAAGTTAGGGCTGCACGAGCAATTGAGCACAATAGAGATTGGGACTTTTTTAGAGTCGCTTGTTTTTTAAGATGGAGTAGAGATTTTGCTAGAGATTGTTATATCCTATTTGGTTGAGTTTCTATATTCGTTTTCTCAGACGTAAAAGAGAAAAATAGTTAACGATAGGAAACACAAATTCAAACCAACCAAAGTTTTTTCTGTTCTCGAGAAACAGCAAAATCTTACAGTAGCTTCTAGCATTTCAAGTGACATTTCTCGAAAGAGACAGTTTTCCAAAGAAACTGAAACCCTACCAAAATTTTCATGCAACCTTTAGGCCCCCTTTAGAACATGAATTCTTTTTATTGTTCCTTCGTGTGAAAAATAAACTAATTCCTGTTAAATTTCTATACAATTTCGATAAAATTTCTGCGTTATAAAGAGCCTCACTGAGATGCTTTTAACTGCCACAAACATTTATGTAGCATTGAGCTTCCATAAAAGATCGGCCATACAACAAGAGAAGCACGCGCGGAGACGTGGCAAGTTGTTACGTCATAGGCGAGCTTTGATCTTTATCTTTCGCCCACTCTGAAGCCCTGTTGGACTCGGTTGCTGAGAGCGACCGTACGAAGATATTTATAATGAGAACTTGAACTTTCCTCGTCACGATCTAAAAACAGCAAAAAAAAAATGACTTGCAGCAATAGTGCAATACCATCTTAATTCTTAAGACCTTCATAAATCTGCTTGACATCGATGACAAAGCATAGGCATAGACCAAACAAAAAGGCAGGAGGAATAGGTTTGTTCAGTACACAAGAAAGGATGTAGCCAGAAATAGCAATGAACAGGCAGCATATATTAGACAGCAAGAACTTCACGCTCTGTCACAGACATGCTCTCATTTACTTGCCCAAAAATATACCGGGGAAAATTAGACAAATCAAACCAGCAAAATATTAGCTTTAACCATGGCCCATGGGCGAGTATATAGTTATGTACTTCCACAATCATAAATTTAAAAAAAAAAGGATGCCATGGTTTCCAGTTATCATGAGGCACTTGATTATCTAGTAAACCTGTTCCTTTTTTTTTTTTTGTATTCTATTTAGCATTGATGAAGATGCCATGGTTTCCAGGCATCGTGAACCACTTGATTATCTAGTGAACATCTTCCTAAATTTCTTGCATTCTAATTAGCATGGATGAGCTTGAGACTCATCTGAGATTTATCATTTTAGAGTTCCTAAAAGAATAAAAGAATTGCTCCTAAGAAAAAGGAGCTATTTGGTCATCAAGGGTAGCGCCAGTTTTTGTCTGAAGTTTGGCTGTGTGGAATCAGGCCTTAGTGGCAGCAGGTGTTGGAGCAGCGCCTCCAGTAGTCGGTCTGGAGGATTGAAAAATAGCCGCCATTAAGTGATAATGAACAAAAATCCTACAGGTTAATGTTGACAAGGGACCAGTATCAAGCAAATAGAAATACTTACAGTCCAACCATGACTTTAAAAGCATCATAGATACCCCACTGGGAACCGGTGAGGGTACCAATCATCACGATACGCAACGGGAGCCCACGCATAAATAGCCCCACTAGACCAATCTTCTTCACAGCCTGAGCAAGCATTACACAAATGGTAAGTGCAAAAAACAAGGTAAACAAAGAAAATAATATCTAATTGTCTAGAAAACATACATCGCCGACCGTTGCCCCCTTGGCATTGTTAAGGAAACAAGGTTGTCAGCTGGGTGAGAAACAATTGCACAGAACACCCCAGCGATGTAGCCACCAGCAAAGCTCACTCCAAGCTGGAGATTCTTGCTGCATTCGTTTTGGGGGGCAGGGATGGCATACTTGTAGATCATCTCAACAACAGTCTCGAAAGAGGCAAATTTCATCATAGTGTCTGCATTTAGTAAAACCATAAGATGCTGGACAGTCCTTCAGGTTAAATATCAAAGCAAAATAAAAGAATAAAATTTGGTAGAAAGCAAGCTCATGTGTTCCAAAATTAGTTCACACCGTACACCGTGAAGGAAATCTAATATGTTAGTCATTGATGTAGCAACGCAAGCAAAATAGGGGCCTAATAATAAAAATTCCCATGTCCATTCCCCACAAGTAATTAGAGTTTAGCTCCCACTATAATTGAGACAAGCAGGCTAAATAATATCATTATGAGCATAGAGGCATCCACAACCAGTACCCAAGAATCATGTGTGCAGTATGGTCACGTTTTCCCTTTGCGGGGTATGCACTCGGGGAGTACTAGCTGTAAGCATTTGATTAATGAACTAATGTACACCACTTCATTGGAGTCTAGCTCCATAGCAACAGAGATAGCTCAAGCAGTGTGGTAAATTAATATACGCACACATAAAATCTTGAAAATCATAGTGTGATTTCAAGAAGAACTATGTGCATGAAAATGCATGTCTTAGCATGCAGGTACATAAGTTAAACACAACAAGAGATAATTATGTGTAAAGAAAATGCGTGATATTAGATAGTTATAAGCACCAATTGCTCATAGATGATTATCAAATACATAAATTTAAAATTAATTAGTGTCAAATCCTCTATCCTCTACAACATAAACCTGATATGTTTTTTAATGTACACAAAATTGGAGTCTAGCTCTGGTTTCAAAAAAAAAAAGGAGTCCAGCTCTAGAATGGCAGAGAAAACACAAGCAGTGCGGATAATTTAACTGCACACAAAAATTCTTGAAACCATACACAATTTCAAGAACTATCCGTCGAAATTAATATTATAGCGACCATATTTTATACATAATTAAAAAGAGATAAACAATTGAGTGCCAACAAGACTTGTCATCCTAAAGAAATGATATTATTATTTACAGCTGATAGTCAATGATTTCAAATGCATGAAAATCCTTTGAGCAACTAACCAATATACACCATCTCATTGGAGTCTAGGTCCAGTTATAATGGAGATGACTCAAGCAGTGTGGAAATATCTTTATATGCACACATAAAATCTTGGAAATCGTTACAAGATCTCAAGAAGAACTATGTGCACCAGAACTACATTCTAGTAAAACTAACATTTACACCATAATAATAAAACGAAATGTCAAGAAGTGAGATTATAAGACTTATGATGAGTAAGAAAGGGCACCATTTTCAAAGCTGATGGTCAGTGTGACTCCAAAAGCATAAAATCCATTTAGTAATTAAGAAATATACACCATCTCATTGGAGTCTAGGTCCATGTCACAGTGGAGATGACTCAAGCAGCGTGGAATATCAATATATGCACACATAAAATCTTGAAAATCATTATACGATTTCAAGAAGAACTATGTGCACCAGAACTAATATTCTAGCAAAACTAATTTTTGTGCTAATAAAAAAACAAAGATATCAACAAGTATAAATGATAATGAAGATTGTCATCAGTGAGAACTGAGACCAGTATCCATAGCCGTTCCATGAATTCTACAACACTAAATTTGTTGCACGCTCGGTGAGTTAAATATGTACACGAATCACGTAGCATGAGTGAAGTTGAATCACCAATACTAAAGAAGATACCATCCATTTATTTCATTGCATCATTAACATCATAGTTGAGATTACAATCACAAAACATGCTTAACGCTAGAGTAGCAACCCTTTTGAAAAACAAGATAAGTTTGATCATCTTAGCAATACAAAATCTACTTTTTCAAAGCTTACATACCATTTATTTCAACAGTTGATTCTTAAGGGGCACAAACATAGTATAGTAAAAAAGTAGAAAGGAAAGCGATTCAAATTTATGTGACAGTTGACAACAAGCAGGAAGTAGGTACTTACTAGGAATTTGTCAGCCCCAGAGTGGAACAATTACTTTATGTGTTAAAAAAAGTGAAGACATGGATATACAGAAATAAAGTAGGCAAACCTCAACTCACCCAGAATAGCCTTCAGCTTTCACAAACTTTGGAAGGCCATCTGATAAACCTCTTGCAAAGCCAGGCTGCGTCTGCACACGGACCTTAACAGCTTCCATGGAGCAGAGGGCAATATCTGCAATCACTTCAGCCGAAGCGGAACCCGCAAGGTAAATCAAAGTCTTGTACTTGGCGGCATACTCAGGGCCAGCAATGTCCGAGTAATACTTCTTGAAGAACTCATAGAAACCGAACTTGCATGCTCCCTGAGCACTGTATCCAAGTAGGGTAGGTACCCAGCCCCTGAAAAAGCCCTTGGGCCCTTGCTCTTTCAACAAAACACCAAAACCAGATGAGATACTCTTGTACTTGGCTGGATCGATCCGAGAAATCAGACAATAAAAGTTTTCATTAGCAATCAGTTCATAACGACAACTATTCATTGAAAATGAACATAAACAAGAAGCAGGAATGTAATCATTGTGAGGTTTACCCCTTTCAGTGCAGGCTACTACGACAATGAAAATGTGATACCATATTTATAGAGCATTACGTACGGTAGCAGCTGGTTGCCTGGTTCGAGAATGATGTACCGGCATCAAACAACCTTCTAATAACTCTAACAATAGAGATCGCATCACGAATAGTCCTACCAATCGAAATGGGACACCTCGCGTAAATAACTCATCTATCCAAATCGAGCCAGCATCGAGACGCTCACCTGCATGTTGCACTTGACGAGGTCCAGGGGCGTGACGGTCATGTGCGTGAGCCCGCAGCTGGCGACGCCGCCGGCCGTGCACGCCGCGTAGAATGCCGGCGAGTACATCTCAATCCTCCGGCCCGGCTCGCTCGGCGCCCTCGCCCAAATAGCGGGCCGCGCCGCCGCCGCAGATGGCGCGGCGACCGTTTGCCCGCCCACGCTAGCGACGGCGGCAGCAAAGGGGGAGGCAGTGGCCGGGGCCGCAAAAAGGAAGCTAGGGAGCAGCGCATTCCGCGAGCTCTCGGAGACCGCCATGGCGCCGGGGCAGGCTCAGGGTTCGGTTCGAGCGATTTCCTTACGGCTAGGGACGCGGCTAAGCCTGGGGGCTCGGTGGGATGGACGCTCATCGGGGCAGCGCGAGCGAGCGCGGCGTTTGTACGTGCGGGCGTGAGGCCCGCCGCCACTCGCTCCAGGGAGGGAGACATCCGGCGGCTGCCCGGGTTATTAGGGCAACCCCCCACCTCTGCGCCACCAGAGAGGGGCGGGCTTTTATAACGAGACGCGGATGAAAATGTGTTTCGATGGGCCCAAGTTGGCCAGCCCAATATTGAGCCGAAACGTAACTCATCCAGCCCAGTTAAAATGCCAAGCCTAGAGGACAAATGTTGCCCATCACACGAAGGTTGAGCATGAAGTAGTATTTCATGTTGCTCAAAAAAATGAAGTAGTATTTCGTAGTAAACTTATTTGGAAATATAAATATTGATACTATTTTCTATATTTCTAGTTAAATATTAAAAAGTTTGACTCCTTAGAAGCGAGATGTGTATTCTTCCCTCCGTCCACAAAACAATGCAATTCTCATTTTTCGAGAAGTCAAACAGTTTTAACTTTGACCAAAGTTATACAGAAATATACTAAAATTCATGATGCAAAATAAATACCATTAGATTAGTTATATAATATATTTTCATAATATATTTATTGAAGAAATAAATGCTATTACTATTTCCTATAAACTTGGTCAAACTTTAACTAGTTCTCGATAAATCCACGGTACTTTGAAGGGTTGACCAATCCACTGCATTTTGAACTATGGATTTTACAATAAACATCTATTTGCCATGGTATTTAAAAAAAAGAGTTAAATGCACCAGCGGCCCTCGAACTTGTAAGCGTGTGCCACATAGGTCCATGAACTTTGAAAATGTATTTTTAGGTCCCTAAACTTGCTAAGTGGTGCACCACAGGTCCATGTTACTCATGTGGACAATATTTGCTGATGTGGCATGCTATCATGGCATGGATTTTTCATTTAACCCCTCACATTTATTTATCTCATAAAAAATAAACCATTTCTTCTCTCTCATCCTCTCCGCAACTTGGTACTCCTATTTGCATTCTAGGCAGGCAAAACTGGCAGCTGCTTCTCTGACGAACATGTGAAAGCAAGGGATGGTTGTGATCACAATTCACAACATCGGCTACGCTGTCGTCTTTGAGGCCTCCGCGATGCGCACGGCACGTACTGCCCCCTGGCGACTCCACACCAATGGCTAGTGTTCTTTGCCGGCATATACCTGTGCGCCATTAGGATCGGCGGGGTGGCCATAGTCTTATTCGGCGCTGAAAGCCCTAGTTTGGTTTTAGATCATTGATGATACCTAAGTACTAACCTACGTCATCAAGTGTGATCATGAGTTAGGTTGGTACACACCAAGTGATGGAGCAAGTTAGAAGTCCTTGGAGGTGGAGATGGACATAAGATGATGGTGATCAAGCTCCAACTTGGAAAAAAAGAAAGAGAAAAACAAAAACCAAGGAGATCAAGGCAAATGTATCAAATAGATTTTTGTTTTGGCACTAAAGACATTATAGAGGATGTGAGTGTGTTTAGGATCAATAGTCGTACTATATAGAGGAAAAATCTTTGGCTAAGCGGTTATCGAGTGCCATTAGGTGATATGATTCTTGCATATACATTAGGAACCTAGTGTGCTAACAATTAACCCTTGTAAAATACTTTGAAAAATGCTAACACACAAGCACATGAGTTGTACACACTGTGGATAGCAACTTGGAAGCAAGGGTGAAGCGGTTGAGGAGTTAAAAAAGAAGGTGAAGGTACAAGACCGGACGCTGGCTCTGCTAGGACCGGACCCAGGCAGGCTGAGTCCGATCAGTAGTTCCACCACTTGGCCGAGATCGAGGTTGTGGTGTGATCGAATGCTGGGACCAGACTCGGGGCTAAGTCTGGTCACTCGGTCCAGAGAGGGTGTGGCTCGGCTCCTCGATCGGACGCTAGAGAAGCAGCGCGACCGGACGCGATGCTGGTGCATTAGGTCACGGCTGATGTACGCTGACGTTGGCACCATGTATGGGCTCTGTGTGGACCAGACGCCCGAGCGCATCAGGTCACCTCTAACCGAACGTGTCCGGTCAATAAAAATCCTCTCTGGATGCTTACTGTACTTGACCGGACGCACCCTGCTCGTGAGTCCGATCATTTCCTCGTCGAGTCCGGTCACACTTTAACAGCGCGAGTGATCAGCTAGTGACTGTTGGAGATCGACGCGTGAGATTCAAAGGGTGACACATGGACGGCCGAGGGAGACCGGACTTTGGCCGACCGGACACTGGGGTGCGTCCGGTCAGTGCGTCCGGTCATGTCCCGAGGCTCCAACGGCTCTCTGAGTCTTGGGGCTTCTATAAATAGTTGTTGCTCAGTTTGAGCCTCAGTCTCTTGGTACTTTTACATTTTTGACATCCTTGTGAGCCTAAGCAAACACCTTTCACTCATCTCCATCATTGATTCATCATCATAGTGAGATTAGGAGTGATTCCTAGCGCATTTGCTTGAGTGATTGCATCTAGTGGCACTTGGGGATCATTGTGGTTGCAGTTTTCTTGTTATTCTTGGTGGTTGCCGCCACCTAGATGGCATGGAGCAGCGGAGAAGCATTGGCACGAGTTGGTGATTGTTCGTGGCCATCTCTCGGTGATTGTGAGGGGTCTTGTACCTTCCCCGGCGGAGAGCCAAAAGATAGCTCTAGTGAATTGCTCGTGTCATTGAGTTACCTCACTTGTGGTAGGTTCTTACGGCGCCTAGTGAAGGCTTGGTGTGGTGCCAATTAGCCGCCGAACCACCAAATGTTGGTCGACACAACGAGGATTAGCGTGTCGATAAGCACGTGAACCTCGAGAGAAAAATTGATTGTCTCTTATGCATTGGACCTCTCCTGATGATTGACTTGGTATTCATTGATTGGTTCATCTCTCTTGTCACGACGGTATAATCACCTTACACACTCTCTTGTATTTACATTCCTTACTTTCTTGCCTAGTATTAAGCTCTTTAGTGTAGCTAGTTGTGAGAACTTGTTAGTTTGGTTAGTGTGGTTCTTTAGTTAGTCTTTGAGAGTATATTAGCTTAGAGAGTAGTGACATAGGTTTTTGCGTGCTTAGTGATCATAACAACTAGAATTATTGGGTAGGTGGCTTACAATCCTTTAGAGCTAGAGCAAAATTGCTTCATGCCATTTAGTGTACTAACAAATTGCTCTAGCGATTTTGTAGAGATTTTTATAGGTTATTCACCCCCCTCTAGCTATTTGGGACCTTTTAGGCGCGGAGCAGTTTGATGAGATGGTGCCGTAGTTGCCGACGTGCGGGCACCTATTCCAGGCGGAGTGATTGGCATGCCGCTGCCATGGGAGATGAGGGAGAAAGAATGGTCTATTTTTATGAGAAAAATAATTGTGAGGGGTTAAATAAAAAATTCATGCTATGCTAGCATGCCATGCCAACAAAAATTGTCCACATGGCTGGCATAGAACTGTGGTGCACCACTTAACAAGTTTAGAGACCTAAAAATACATTTTTAAAGTTTATGGATCTACGTGGCACATGTTTTCAAGTTCAAGGGGCGTTGGTGTATTTAACTCTTAAAAAAACAAAGTCAAGCGGATAAACCACCTTGGAGAAAACCTTATTATTAGGACTCCTCTAATATCTATAACAAACAGTGATATCGACTTCACTAATTAGTGAATGTTCGATTGATTTAAAAGATAAACCTCCATGTTTTTTTGGAAAAAAAAATTCTGCAACTTTCTAATTTTAGAAATTTATAAAGTCATACACTTATACTCACAACTCATGTATATAATATTTTGTAGAACAAAACGTATCAACACATTGACTTTTTAATCTATTTTTCTATATAATTCTGTAGATAACTTATCATGACAAATTTTTGACAAGACCTTTGTAACCTATTTTTTATTCTAAACATAAGTTTTCTATCTATATTTTTATATAATAGATTTTTATAAATAGTGTAAATTATGCTCACAACTTTTGTTGTTTAGTGTTTTTTTTAAATACACAACTTGTCCCTATCATAAAATAGTTATTCATAGTATATAGAAGACGATGGGTAGTTTAATATAAAAAGTTTAAAAAGAAAGGAAAAGGAAAATGAGTGAGAAACGGGACAAATCTATTGTATCTGATACCACGACTGTAGAATTGTTGTAAAAAATTAAGTTTCAAAGGTGAAAGGTCCTAATGGCTAGAGGGTGGTGAATAGTTTAATAAAAATTTCTACAACAATACTTAGCAAATCGGTTAGACAATTATGAGGCGAAGCAAGTGTTACGCTAGCCTACTAAAATTGTAAGCCACCTACCACAATTCTAGTTTATATAGTTTTTATCCATACAATAGCTATGTCACTACACTAAGTTAGTGTGCTCTCAAAGGCTAACTAAAGAGCTACACTAACCAAACTAACAAGCTCTCACAAGTAGCTACACTAAAAAGCTTGACAATTAGTTTGCGGTAATATAAAGAGAGCGAGCAAAATAGTTATACCGTCGAGTCAAGGAGTGAACCAATCAATCACAAGAATCAATATAAATGAAGACCAATCACCTCGGAATCAAATGATGACACAATGATTTTTTACTGAGGTTCACTTGCTTGCCGGCAAGCTAGTCCTCGTTGTGGCGATTTACTCACTTGACGTTCACGCGCTAATTGGCATCACACACCAAACCCTCAATAGGGTGCCCCACAACCAACACAATATGAGGATCACACAAGCCACGAGCAAATCACTAGAGTACCTTTTGGCTCTCTGTCGGGAAAAGGTTAAGAACCCCTCACTATAACAGAACCGACCAATTATACGAAATTAAGTAAGAAAATCATCCGCCAGAGCAGACAATTTAGCAAACTTAAGCCCGTATAACCCGGTAGTTCGTGAAATCACGAAGGATTTCAAACCAACTCACATCCCAGCCACGATCGTA